CGCTTCCGTTAAATTCGAAAGTAAGGCATACCTGCTAAAGAATTGCGATGCGGACAAAATATTTAAGCGATCCCCCCAAAATTGCAGTGGAACGCTAGCATAATACCATGGTAACAAATTAATAACACAAAAGTTGCGCTCTGCCGTAAAACTTTTCAGCATTTAGCAAAAGTCGGCGAATTTATGATAAAACTCTCTGACGTTAGCGGAACGTGTCATTTTTTTTTTACGTTTTCGTATATATGGCATACCTTAGATTGACAGACCATGCGACCAAACTATTGGAGCGACCCCCTAAAAATGGATATTCTTCGCTAGCACAATACCATGGCAACAAATCTATAACAGTAGAGGTGTCCTCTACCGTAACAACTTTCGGCATTTAGCACAATTCGGAGAATCTATGACAAAATTTTCGGTCGCTTCCGTTAAATTCGAAAGTAAGGCATACCTGCTAAAGAATTGCGATGCGGACAAAATATTTAAGCGATCCCCCCAACATTTAGCAAAAGTCGGCGAATTTATGATAAAACTCTCTGACGTTAGCGGAACGTGTCATTTTTTTTTTACGTTTTCGTATATATGGCATACCTTAGATTGACAGACCATGCGATCAAACTATTGGAGCGACCCCCTAAAAATGGATATACCGTAACAACTTTCGGCACAACAATGTCACAAAAGTCCCCAAAATTTGGTCCAAAGTAGAATTTCAATCTATTTGAGTGATACCTTTTCTGAAACCATTGACATTTATCTATCAAGGGGTCAAATAAAAATCCAATACATTTCATCTCATTTTTCTATAAAATTGAATTGAAAATTAGAGCGTTAAATATTTGTTGGGAAACGCTACAATAATTTCTGGACCTGTGGGCGGTACGGATGTGAAAATACGGACTGTTAAACAGAAAATGGGCAATAAAACATGCAATTAATAGTCTTGATGTTCATATAAACCCACTTTGAAGGCTATATTATTCTTCAGCTATATAAAAATTAATTTTATTGCACAATAACTTTCATATTTGAAAAAATTCACCGGGGCCAAAATGCGAAACTAATCTCCTAACTGTGTATTGCTACCTTAAACACACACCCCAAATCTCCGACACCTGTCAATAACCATGGCCCCAGTCTTTTGGAGTCTTTAAGCAATAATGCTCTGATGACCTATATATATTTCTCAATTTCCTGTATACACTCAATCTTATCTTTGAAAATTCAAAAACAATAACATGCAATTTTGATAATTCATTAAAATCCTCTTTCCTCGGCAAAGTCTAAAGACAGTGGGTTCATGTTACAAGAATATATACCCTATTGTATACTAAATGAATAAGCTGACTTTATTTGAAACATTAAGATGAAAAGGTCCGCAGAAACAAATGAATATAACCATGACACCGAATCCCACACGATCAGGACAGCGGATAGGACGTAAACCATTGCGTGACGGTAGCCTATTCATAGGACTTAAACCATTGCGTGACGGCAGCCTATTCATAGGACTTAAACCATTGCTTGACGTCAGCCTATTCATAAGGCTTAAACCATTGCGTGACGGCAGCCTATTCATAAGACTTAAACCATCGCGTGACGGCAGCCTATTCATTTAGCGTGGTTTCCTGTTTCCTTTTTCTATAACGCATTTTTATTAAATATTTCTCAAATAATAAGAAAGTCCTTATATCACTAAAACTAATCCGTAAATGACATGCCGAAAAAGGAAGTCATGCATCCATTATAAATATTGCACTGACAATGAAACTAATTCTAGAATACAACCAATCAAGAGATCATTTGAGCCTTGATCACTTTGCAATATTCTAAGTTTGTAAGAGAATGATAATCCCTTACTTCATGATAAGTACTCGCTGACGCTCGTACTTAATCGCGAAGAAAGGGATTATCATTCTCTTACATATACTTACAAACTTAGAATATTGTAAAGTGCTCAAGGCTCAATTGGTCTCTTCATTGGTTGTATTCAAACATTTGTTTCAATATCAGTGCAAATGTTTATAATTAATGCATGACTTCCTTTTGAGGAATTTCATTTATGGATTAGCTTTAGTGATGTAAGGACTTTCTTATAATTTGGAAATTATAATAAGTTGTATTTTAGACATTAGATGCCACAACAACTTACGATGAAATGGTAGGAATTGTTTGTACAAGTTCCCTAATTGTGAGTAGGAATATAAATCATGATATTTTAGTGAGGAATTATCTTTTTGTTTATTTACAGTTCAAATCAATAAATTCAAAATTTGAATTACAACTAAATTTTATTTCACAACCAATATTTAGTCTTGCTCTTTACATCAAATACTACTTCATTATGTGAGGTAATTAACTAAAACTAAATGTTCAAATAATATACCTTTAACATAAATTCCTGGTATTTTTTATATTGGAAATTACAATTCTTACCAAAAGTGAATCCAGTAAATCTAAGTTTTGGTAAGCGTATTAGCTAAAGATTTAGGTTATATTTAATTTGAAACTTTTAAAACTTTTTGGCATTCTTTTGATATTGTTTATTATTTTTTTTAGTAATTTTAAAGTTATCAATTGTCTCATAATAACATTAACTGTACCAAATTTACTGCACCACCAAACTTAAACTTATTTTGATTTTTTTTTTTTTTCAAAATTCAACTTTCGGTCAGTTTCAATCACAAATCCTTTCATGCAGAAAAAATGTGCTTCAGAGCATTCTTGATGCGGATCACACCCTTCAGTACTGGCCTCTATGATACCATGACATTTTGAGTGAAATCTGGAGGTGGATCACACCCTTCAGTCCTGGTCTTCATGATACCATGACATTTTGAGATATCTTGGTGTGGATCAAATCCTTCAGTCCTGGCCTCCATGATACCATGACATTATAAGTGATATCTTGATGCGGATCACACCCTTCAGTACTGGCCTCCATGATACCATGACATTTTAAGGTGAAATTTGATGTAAATATCATACCCTTCAGTCCTGATCTTCATGATACCATGACATGTTGAGATGATATTTGGATGTGGATGACATCCAAAATCCTAGCCTCCAGGATGCCATGACATTCTAATGCGATATTTTGATATGGATCACACCCTTTAGCGTTAGTCTTCATGATATCATTACATTATAATGCGATATTTTGATATGGATCACACCATTCAGTGTTAGCCTCCATGATGCCATGACATTCTAATGCGATATGTTGATATGGATCACACCCTTCAGTGTTAGCCTCCATGATACCATGACATTCTAATGTGATATTTTGATATGGATCACACCCTTCAGTGTTAGTCTTCATGATGCCATGACATTTTGAGGAGATATCTTGATATGGATCACACCCTTTAGTCCTGGCCTCCATGATACCATGACATTTCGAGTTGATATCTTGATGTAGATCACACCCTTTAGTCCTGGCCTCATGATACTATGACATTTCGAGTTGATATCTTGATGTAAATCACACCCTTTAGTCCTGGCCTCCATGATACCATGACATTTCGAGTTGATATCTTGATGTAGATCAAACCCTTTAGTCCTGGCCTCCATGATACCATGACATTTCGAGTTGATATCTTGATGTAGATCACACCCTTTAGTCCTGGCCTCCATGATACCATGACATTTCGAGTTGATATCTTGATGTAGATCACACCCTTTAGTCCTGGCTTCCATGATACCATGACATTTCGAGTTGATATCTTGATGTAGATCACACCCTTTAGTCCTGGCTTCCATGATACCATGACATTTCGAGTTGATATCTTGATGTAGATCACACCCTTTAGTCCTGGCCTTGCCTCAATGATAATATAATATTTTGAAGAGATATCTTGATGGAATAACACCCATCAGTCCTGGTCTCTATGGAACCATGACATTTTGAGGTGATATCTTGATGCGGAAGATTCCAAACGTTTTAAATCAAGTGAACATGATGAAGATGGTGTTGTTGGATGGCTGCTTAATGTCTAGTGGAAAATTAAAAAATAAAATGAATATTAACCATGTTTTGTACTAGACCCACAAGCTGAGCCGGATTTTTAACTTGCTGGTTCATAAGGTAACAGTCCACAGGAAGACATGTCATCCTATCCAGACTCCAAGCCTACTCGTCTTTGCTCTTACTCATTAATGCTGAGTGCTTAGCGGAATAGCAGCAAATACAAATTTTAAAGTCTTTTGCATGATGAAGGCAAATCAAGTATCATTGTTTGATTTTTTGTTTAAGGCCAATTTCAGCACTGTTGTGCTATTTCGTGGTGGTCAGTTTTTATTGGTGGAGGAAGTCGGAGTGTCCAAAGAGAACCACTGACCTACGGTAGAAAAATTAACAAACCTTATCAATAAAGATTGGAGTCGAGCGCACCTGACACGTGAGGGATTCGGACTCACAATCTCAGTGATGACAGTAGATACAGTAGATCAACTACTTCGACCACTCTGCCACCAAGGCTCATGTATCGTTATGCTATCTCAACTATTTGCTGTAAATTCAGAAATTATTGGAAGGTTTTTTATTAATGCGAATAATGCGACTTGATTCGATATATATATATATGTAATCACTATGTTGATTTTCCTGAAATCGCAATATATAATTAATAGATTTTTTCATATTACCGACTTTTGATTCAGGAGTTTATATTATTTCGACAGGTTACCTTCTCTGTGGTTGAACATCCTGGTACTCGGTCAAGTAAGAGCAACATAAAGAAGTAAAATCAAGCTTACAATCGGTACAATTTAGGGGGGAAATTTACTATTTTATGTATTCTATACAAGACAAAATCATGGGAAAACAGTAAACTTTCCCCCAAAATTGCACTGATTATATGTTTGATTTTACTTCTTTTGGTTGCTCACACTTGACTGAGTACCAGGATGTCCTACCACAGATTAGGTTACCTGTTGAAAAATTATATAATCCAGAGTCAAAAGACAGTAAAATGAAAAAAGTAAAAAAGGAAAGAATATTTAATAGTATTTTTATTTTCGACTCTTGTCAGAGAGAGCCACTCTAACACATATCAGTGTACAGTTATTTAACATCTTACCAACAAACAGTCACACAAACAGTCAACCTACAATACTCTTATAACATCATAACCAACAAACAAACATACAATCATTTATCTCTTTAACATACAATCATAACAGTTATACATTATCAAGGGGGTACCTGAGGGGCTTGACCAAAGAGTATTTAACAATGATAGGAATAGTATTTATTAAACTCCCACTTGTAGCCATCTTGAGGTTTTTATCGAGCATCAAACTCCTCCTTTTAGTCATCTTGAGGATCATATGAGACTACAAATGTAAAGTCATTCCTCAAATCATATTTTTTAAGGATATTGTTGGCGCAAAACAAAGAAAAATAATTTTGTTAAAGTAAAAAAATAATTTACCCGTAATTGTTATGTGGGGGTAAGGCACCCCATTTCTACCCTCTTTAAAAACTATCCCTACCATTAAAATTTCTTTTTTTAAATGTAAAAATTCTGAAGTTTAAAAATTTCTTTTCTAAAAATATATTCAAAACAAAATAACTAAAAGTAACATGTGAAGCTGCTAAATGCTTTGATTTTACACTGCTATTAAAACGTTCTGTTGACCTATAGAGAGTTATTTCCCTTCATCATGTTCATTGTCAGGTACCCCCTTAAATCCAAATCAAATCTTAACAAATATATTTTGAGGTAAAACTGTATATCTTTTGCTGAAGTTTATGGTTTTTATAGTTTTGAATGATACAATGCTATAAAAAGAACACACATGTATAAACAACTTTCTTACACTCATTGTGTATTCTATATTTTAATGAGGCTCTAAATGGGGTCTTCATTTCTACAATCTTTAATTTTGTAGGTCATTATTTTCTATTCCTTATCACCAAATTTTTCTCTTTTCTTCATTATTTTGGCTTATTATTGACAAATTTTATGCTCAAAATACCAAATCCAGTATTTTGATTGGTTGATTTCTGAGTTGGTGTACGACAATCTGAGTTGGTGTACGACAATCTTTATGACTGTAAGGCTAGGCCAAACAGAGTATCAAGAACATACAAATTAAAAAAAATTAGCACTTGTGAAATTTAACTGCATCAATTGTACCGCAAGATGATTTTACGAAATGGCACTACGAAATTAAAACTTAATTTTATATCTCTTCATAACTGTGGTTCTTTTAATTTTGTTGTTGGAGTTACTTCCCTTTGTTGAATTTTCATAGTTCTACAACACACAAGTTGACAAATTCTTCATTTATGTCTTATTGAAAATGTGAACCTTGTTGATTTCGATTGGTTGTTTGTGTCTACCCACCATGTCCACGATAAAGTTATTAAAACAAATTTATAATGTAATTAAGCTCTCCCTTCATCACTGAATACTTTTTCAACAAAATTTCTAAATAGCATCTAACCATTAAAAAAAATTTGAAAAAAAAGGGCAAACTTATTTTCTGTATTGAAAGATTTATTTGCGTATGTTGAATCAGACTCTAATTATTTCAAACGTTCTATCTTCTAACAAACAACATCAAAATTATATATCTTACATAAAAGTCAATCAATTCATTCAACAATTATTAGGTATTAAATTTCTTGACTAATTATTTTTCCAAATAACTCTTATACACGTGTATTAAAACAATAGATTTTTTTTCCAGCCAATTTCTATTTTAATCTTGGAGTTACTTCCCTTTGACCATATTTGCATCACAACCACCTGAATCATCCAACACTTTATAAAAAAAAAATATATTACCCAGAATGCATCAGGTTCTGAAATAACATATTTAGGCTGATGCTTAATATGTAAAAAATGTCTCCAATACCAAGAACTTGTTGTTTAGATCTGAACAAATCATAGCCTTTAATATCTATAATGATTAATGGTTGATTAATATCTAGTGGCAAACATTACATGCCTATTCAAACTGTCGTTTATAATTCCTGATACATTTATTGAATGACATATGTGTGTGTATTATTATGAAACCACTTAGATATACTACAGCTCAAATGGATGTTAATATGGTCAAAGGGAGGCAACTCCAAGTAGAAAGTTTGACTCATTCACTTGTGTACACTCAAATTAACATGAAATTTCTAAAAATATTGAATACAATAGCTCAATGTATTTTCAAGGTGGTGATGCTGAATTTGATTATATAAAAGGTTGAAATAACAAAATCCATGTAAGCTGAACTTTACTCTGGGAGTTGTCTCCCTTTGACCATATTATCATCAATGACAAAATAAACAAAAATGGCACAATATTAAGTATTCAATAAAAACCTGAGTTTACTTCAGTATACAAACTGTTAACGCTATATCTTATCTATAGAAGGAATTACTAAGGGAAGAAGCTCTGTTTTGTAAGTATCAAATACAACTGTAATATTGTAACTTATTGTAAATTCAGAAATTATTGCGAGGTTTTTATTAATGCGAATAATGCGACTGGGTGACTAACGCAATAATAAGAACTCGCATTCTGATGTCTGTTACATATATCTGTATGCAGATTTTCATGATATCGCAATAATTAATCTCGCATTTTTGTCCATTCTTGAAAAATCGCAATAATAAATGCACGCAATAGTTTCTGAATTTACAGTATTTTTAATTGAAGATGTATGTTTGTGTTCAGCCTTATAACTGATATTACTGATCCATTACCACGATTACTGAAACAGTATTAGCCAGGTAGTATAAACTAAGTTACTTGTCTTTGTCTATAAATCGATATAGCACAGAGTTACTCCCCCTAGTCTTCAAATAGAGGTAACTAAACATATTATAAATGCCCTAATGTTACAAAGATTGTTCCAGAAAAAATAAGCGTTGCCATGGTGAAATGCCCTTTACAAGTAGAATTATAGAAAGGTCAGAAATAAACCAAATGTTTTACTCAGAGGATATACAAAACATTTTTAAGATATAGAAAGACTGTCAATGGAGCAATAATTCCCCAGGAGAGAAAAGACTGTCAATGGAACAATAATTCCCCAGGAGAGAAAAGACTGTCAATGGAACAATAATTCCCCAGGAGAGAAAAGACTGTCAATGGAACAATAATTCCCCAGGAGAGAAAAGACTGTCAATGGAACAATAATTCCCCAGGAGAGAAAAGACTGTCAATGGAACAATAATTCCCCAGGAGAGAAAAGACTGTCAATGGAACAATAATTCCACAGGAGAGAAAAGACTGTCAATGGAACAATAATTCCCCAGGAGAGAAAAGACTGTCAATGGAACAATAATTCCCCAGGAGAGAAAAGACTGTCAATGGAACAATAATTCCCCAGGAGAGAAAAGACTGTCAATGGAACAATAATTCCCCAGGAGAGAAAAGACTGTCAATGGAACAATAATTCCTCAGGAGAGAAACTAAATCATTCTAAGTATTTCTTTACATTACATTTCCTTATACTTAAACAGGATACAACAAAACATAGAGAATGGCTCCAAAATAAAAAGTATGTGTGTTTACAGTAGAACGACTAAGGCCAAAATAAAAAGTATGTGTGTTTACAGTAGATCAGTTAAGGCCAAAATAAAAAGTATGTGTGTTTACAGTAGATCAGCTAAGGCCAAAATAAAAAGTATGTGTGTTTACAGTAGATCAGCTAAGGCTAAAATAAAAAGTATGTGTGTTTACAGTAGAACAACTAAGGCCAAAATTAAAATTATGTGTTTACAGTAGAATGCCCAAGGCCAAAATAAAAAGTATGTGTTTTTACAGAACAACGGCTAAGGCCAAAATAAAAAAAGTATGTATGTTTACAGTAGATCAGCTAAGGCCAAAATAAAAAGTATGTGTGTTTACAGAAGAACTGCTAAGGCCAAAATAAAAAGTATGTGTGTTTACTGTAGAACGGTTAAGGCCAAAATAAAAAGTATGTGTTTTTACAGAAGCAGGACATACTCTATTTTTTGAGAACCTACCCTAACTTTTTTTCACTGAAAATTGGGCAAATTATATTTTCTCTAGTATTTTTGTTGACAATTATGTACTCTTTGTCAAATAACTAGCTAAATGCCAAAAATGATCAACAAATATTGTGTAAAACCAAGTAAAAACATATCCAACTGACAAAAACAACTGTGACAAATGGCCATTAACTGGAAATATTGATAATTGCAATAAAGGATCAGGCTATTTCCGGGTTTGCTGTTCAATATAAAAAAATATTTTTAAAAGTTTTGCCAACTTACCGACCCTACATTTTTTCAGCAGGTTATAGTAGACACACATATTTTTTGTTTGCCCAACAACCCTGAGTGAACCGGCTAAACAATGGAAATAAACCCTTTTTATTATGTGACATTATATCCATTTCTTATATGAGAAATAAATTAAATTTAGACGTGTATAGACTTGACATACTGATATTTTCTCTGGAACTAACCATGTAATAGTCTTAAACTTAATCTGGAAGTCTCCATTCCAAAAATAACTTACACCCTCTCACAGAGGATATATATACTAACATTGTAACAAAGAATTAAAAAGTTTTCTTTTTTAAAAATAAACAATAAAAAATATTAAGATTTATATTTAGTAAAAACTTTAAAACAAAAAAACCAAAAACAAGTTGAATCTTTCAACCATTCAAAAACAACAAGAGTTGCCTCCCTTTGTCCAACATTTCAAATAATTCAGTCACAATAAGAAAGTGTAAGTTATTTTTTAAATTGAATGTTAAGAATACATATGACCTCTACAGTAACAACTATCACCTATCAATAGTCATTAAAACTTCCAGCCAAGCCGGACATGAAGTTATAAACTGTCTGTGGTAGTTTGGTCCCCAGCCTTTAGCAAAACTTATCCTGACAGACGCTGGGTCAAAAGGACCGTCCAGATATCGTTTGTCTGTTAACTGTTTTAACAGTCGCACACTATCATAGTCAAATATTTTGATTGAATATCCAGGTAATAGTTTTAAAACCGGCAACGTTCTTGAATGAATATTCTCTAAAGTAGGCGAGTTGACAAACACTGGAAATTGTGAGCGATTATAAAGCCAAACTCCATCATCTTCACGGCTTAACACAACACCTATACCTATTTTATCACGAGTTCGTTTTACTGACTCAGTTTCGGCATCTTTCTGAAGTAATTCTAGGGACAGTCCGTCCCCATGAGGTAGTGATTGAAATATATTAACATTAGGGTCGTACACCATATACAAACGTCCAACGCGCTGTCGCAATTCCCAGTACGCCACAGTACACCAATGTGGTCCTCGAACACAACCATTGTTAGACGACATTGAATCATCTGAAAATTTAAAAAAAACAAGAATTACCAACACAGTCAGTCAATAAATATGTATATATCCATGCTCTGTATAAACCTTCTTTTTGAGAAGCACCAACATGAGATATCCAGTAAAGGTGGACATTAAGCACTCTATATTGTGAGTCTACAATGACTTGTTACATTAATTATGTGGTAACAAGAAAGAGTAAGGTATATATATATATATAGAATAATGGCATTTTCATTTTCGATACGGACTTTATCAGCAAGAATATCAAGCGAGCCTGCTAGGGCCATTATTCTTTTTATCAGTAATTTGTCTCCGAACTGTATGTTTTTGGGGTTGAAAATATGAAATCAAATGAAATAGTTAGTAAAACTATTTTACGCGTACAAAACGTTGTGATAGTTGTTCGGTTGTATGAATGACATCGCTGCACTGATACATCACGTCATTGCCTAATATTTTCGAGTATCAAGTCCTGTCCATGATCTTAAAAATATTAGGCAGTAAGATCAAAGAGAAAATGTACAAACTGTGGATAAATCCAGTTATCTCTACTTTTTGTGCTATTTTCACATTTCTTGACCGGTGTGAGAAAAATATTTCTCCTCACTAGTGAAAAATTTGTTCTCGGCAAATGATTGGTCGAAATCTAATTATGACGTCAAATTTTCTTGGTTTCTTCTGAATTTTCCTATTGTGACGTCATGAAAAAAGGCGACCATGCCTGATGACGTCACATATAAAGAACACAACTTTCTGAAAATCTTTGAAAAGGAAGGATAAGAATCATTAGAGAAACAGATTCCATCACTTTAACTCGTGTATTACGATATTTCTCCACTCTCAACAGTTAAATTTAAAGTATTTAAAAAGCTCGGCAAGCCTCGCGCTTTAAATATTAAAATTTAACTGTCTCGAGTGGAGAAATATCGTAACACACTTGTTGCAGTGGTGAAATCTATATATCTCTACTTTGGTTAGCTTAATATTCCTTCACTAGAGTTTTATTGAGGTTAGGGAAGGAGGTGAATAATCTATATATAGTTGTGGGACTCTCTACCAGAGGAACAATTCCATATGACACTGTACGCACATAAATTACCCAAACATCAGACTTAAATACATTTTAATCTCAAAATAAATGTAACTTGTGTTTACTATTGATGTTCCAACTCATAAATCCTACAAACTTTCATATAAACACTTACAACTGCATTTTCCATTAAAAATAAATTTTTTTGCAAAGGTGTACTGAAAATGTCCCATATATCGAGTTAAGTCCACTTTGGTTAGCTTAATATTCCTTCACTAAGAGTTTTATTGGGGCTGGGGGAAGGGGGGGGGAGGGTAAATAATCTACAGAGGAACATTTCAGTATAGCTTACAACAAATATTACTTAGTCCTATCTATTTTTATGAAACAAGCCACTCACTCACTGACCTGTATTATAATAAAACCATGTCATCATTCACATTTTTTTTTACCTACACCAGTATTTCCTAAAATTCTTAATATTTCAGGTCTCTATATTTTTCTGTTGCATTTTTTTGTTTTTTATTTTCCATGTAAACAAAATTTCCAAATAATTGCAACAAAAAAAACTTGGCAACAGATATGCACAAATTCACCCAATCCTCCATCCACCACTGCTTCAGAACAGAGGTGCTTCACATTTATTTCAATTCATGCTATCTCAATCAGATAGAGAAGTAATCATAATTTTGGCTAAAACCAAAGAAATATGACATGGCGTCTTACAACATTGTAGAGGTCTAGAGGTTTGCCATAACAGAGATACATGAGGCTCAAGAGGTGTGGTGAAGAAATGATGCTCAAAACCAATGCAAATTATAAATATTTTACAAATAAAATTTTCTAAAAATAAGTGACAGAGTGTTGTTTGTCCTGATTTCTTCAATGCATGAACCTTGTGAAAACATTGCTACATCTAATGAGTTTGTTTCTAATTTTCACCAAAAAGGTATGTACTGAAAACTCACAATAGTTTAATTAAGGGGGATTATTCATATAAACTAAGCAAAAATGATAATATTAAGGAAATAGGAGTGTTATTTAACTTTTAACTGTCAGTGAGAGATATATCCAGAACAACTATACATAATAATACTATGGAATGTGACCCACACATAGTCATTTCTTTAATGTTTTAAGCATAACAAACACAGTCTGATTAGTATAATTAATCCTTAACAATTTTAAGAGTCCTACAATCCAGCTAATTTACAAGACGTCTCCACACAACCTCTATGTTAACCCTATAACATTGTGTAGTGGGCGCCATACATTCTTTACAAACGACTCTTTACTTCATAGCATAAAACTGGCTCCAATGGAATAGTCCATTTACTAATCCAAAAGGGGTGGTCAGGTTACTGACACAGATAATACTGTAAATTTTTAAAAGGCAAACTGTGGATATAAAAAATTGTGGTTAAATGATGGCCTTTTTTTCTTTAATAATGTAAAGAATGTTTTGATTGTCAAAAATAACAGTAATATTAAGAAATAAGACATATAGCTATTCTTTACCAATATATCAACATTTTTTTATATAGGTATATATGTTGTATGTTACAATCAGTTCTATCATTGAAATCATGTCAGTATCATGTTGTAATTATTCTGCTCTGATTATAACAATCTGACTAGTTATAAAGTTTATTGATTAATTGATTGATTGATGATTGTTTAACATCAAGTCAGCCTAAAGTTATTAGACACAGATACTTAATCTTTAAATCTGAAGTTGTTTTATTAACTACAAACTAATACTTATATAGACATGGGAGTAAAAAAAAGAAAAAGTCTTACATGTTATTTTGCTTTTCATTTGTGGCAAAACATATAAAACAGGAAGGAGTGTAGTAATGCCCTTTACCAGCAGGCGTCAAATGGTCATTTTCAGCTACTGTTAGCGTCAAATTGGTTTAAATTTTAAGGTGATTCTTCAAAATATCATAATCGTGATTCGTCAGAGGTCTCAAATAATTATCGTTACCGTTATTTTTGGAAAATATAACGAGATTCATCAAAATCAGTCTAAAGGAAAGTGTACATTTTATCGTGATGCACCAAAAATTACCGTTAACGTCATTTGGCAGGATTTTTAACGTCATTTGGCAGGATTTTTTATCGTTATTTGTCATGAAGGTACCCCCATTACGACCCTCAGGAAGGGGTAGAGCTTTAAAACTTATAACAAAGTCAAGGTCTGAGCAAACTAACTTTTCCCGGACTATGCCTTCAGGTGACTTAATCCTGTTGTTTCGTGCGACTGACCTCACTATCTTTTACTGGCCATGCCTTCAGGTGACCAAATCCTGTTGTGTTGTCTAGTTAACACTGGCTCCACAGATATATATTATAATGATTTTTTGCTTGTAAATCGTGATATACATAGATGTTTGAACAAATGTTATTGAGAGACAGCCAGGATGGTAGAAGGATATGTTGTCTACCTGTCTGCATATTACAAGATGTCAACCCCTCAAATATAAATTATAGTCTTCAATCTTCAATACAATTTTAGGAATTAAGATTGGTGGAGTGGGGTACAGGGTGCACATCAGCAATCTTGAATGCAATACAATTTTAGGAATTAAGGTTGGTGGAGTGGGGTACAGGGTGCACATCAGCAATCTTGAATGCAATACAATTTTAGGAATTAAGGTTGGTGGAGTGGGGAACAGGGTGCACATCAGCAATCTTGAAGGCAATACAATTTTAGGAATTAAGGTTGGTGGAGTGGGGAACAGGGTGCACATCAGCAATCTTGAAGGCAATACAATAACCTGCAGCTATTCAAATCTTTGGTCTTTGATGCATGGATAGTAATGTGTAACTTTTGCAATCATACCACATCTCCTTATTTTTCTATCGGACAATGTCAAACATTTCTATGCAGAAATTTAAAACAATCATAAAACTGTTTGCATGATTTAAATTTACGATATTTTGACTACATACAAAGACATCATGTAAATACAGATAATGATTTATAGGAGCTGACGATTGCATGGTAATCTATAAGAGTTGTAATTATATTTGATTTCTCTGTTTAGAGACGATCATTACACTGAAATTTATGGATCTTTGTGAAATAAGACGAATATTGTGAATTGTATAGGAAGACAGTGTAAATATCACAACTGACATGGACTGGGCTATCTAGACTTTACCAAAAGTATAGGTATTTAGACAAATACAGGGACTTCGTGGTTAAACTTGACAGAAAGTATCAAAATTTTGACAAATACTGGCACTTTTTTCCGAATAAAATTCAAACTGGTATGTTATACATTGCAATTTAAGGAAATGCCTCAATAGAAATAATGCAACCAATATTTAAAATATGAGTTTTTATTTTTGTGATTCCTAATAAATATCATAAAATATTAAGTTGCTCCAAGGCATTATAATCATGTTTGATAGCAAAAAACATCTTCATTTCCTTATTCAACAAATATTTTTGAGGTCAAAGGTTAAATATCTATTAATTAAATAAGAAAACTTCAAACAAATTACTAGAAAATATGTATACAGTGAAACCTGTCTAAAACGAACCACTTCGGCACTTTGGATTTTGTTCGGTTTTGGCAGATGTTCAGTTTAATAAGGTTCACAAAACATAAAATTTGATATGACTGGTCTTAAGAACAAGTTTGGTTTAGACAGGTTTTCGGTTTATGCAAGATTCCGTTTAGACAGGCTTTCAGTTTATGCAAGATTTGGTTTAGAAAGGTTTTCGGTTTATGCAAGATTCCGATTAGACAGGTTTCTCTGTAGTAGTGAGAGTTCAAAACCAAATGTGAAGCAGCCTATATCACAAATTAGTCAGAGGTCCTTTTCTATGACTTTTTGGGGCCATGGAAACAATCTGGGACTAATCAGAAATTAGTCAGAGGACCTTTTCTATAACTTGTTGGCACAGTGGAAACAACCTGGGACTAATCACAAATTAGTCAGAGGACCTTTTCTACGACTTGTTGG